GACTAACTGGTAGACATTAGGGAGCTTCTAAAAGGAGCAATATGTGCAGAAATGTGTAAATAACTTATGGTCAATTGGTCCAACACTTTGGTGGACATTCATCGTCCACCAGGGGATGAATCCTAATAAACTTTGTGATCATCGAACTTCCTCAAGCAGCCAAACATTCCAGGTCAAAATGACATTTGTGGTTCTGAATGAGCACTGTTTGCCAATGAATTTGCTACAGACTGGTTTCAAAGCGCCCGCAGATACAATGTAATCACTTTGGTAGTCGCCTGAACTTTTCTCATAGCACCACCATCAGGTCACTAATGTTATTAAAAACTGCTTGTAACGTCAGGTGGCCGTGTAATGACTTGGCATTCATTGGCATCCTCCTTATTGGCTTTTATTTGTAGGTTTGGTCAAGTCATTCTGACTCATGTATGTAGACATACGGATTAGAATGTAGCTTCACAAGCAGAAAGGGGCGAGTCCGAGGAAACAACAAAACAATGATGGAAAGGGAGACAGGTGATTGGAAGGAAGGTGTGTGTGTGTGTGGGGGGGGGGGGGGGGGGGAGGCAAGCAAAGGTGAAAGCAAGGAGACAGCTGCTGAGGGAGGAAAAGTCAGAGAAAGGAAAGGAGGGATGGACAGGTATAGACAGGTAGAGATGGAGGAATGGTGGAGAGAAACAAAAAAAAGAAGAATGAAGAAAGAGGGACCAAAAGAGAAAGGAAAGAGAAGAGGCCATGAACCCAACACCACTTTGAAGCCAAGGACAAACTCTCACTCTCCCCCATTTTCTTTTTCATTCCACCCTTGATCTATTCTTACTGTAGAGCTTCTGGAGTGCCTGCTCAAATGGTTTGCCATACTGCCCACACCACACATCATTTGTTAACAGGGAACCCAGAGTTCTTGTGGTTGGGGAGCAGAGCTGCATAGCAACCCCACAGCACTTCCTGTTGGGCCGGGGGTTGAACGCCGGTGCCCGTTGTTCACCGCAGTGCCCCCTCTGCCTTTAGAAAAGCAGCCGGGAAGCAGTTCACTTACAATTGGCTTTGTGCTTCGTTGTGAGGAGAAGAGAAATGAGCGGAAAGGCAAAGCACCCTCAGTTCGCTGCACTCTTTAACAGGCAGGGACCTCCATATGGTTTAACTAATGAGTTTCTGAGGACCGACATTAAGATTTCTGGAATGATGGTGCCGATAGCTGAGTGTTGCCAAGAGAATTCAACCTTTAGTTTTGACTGTTTGCGGAGAAAAACATTTTAAATATTCCAGCCTTTCATACAGGGTAACAAACTAAAGCAATTAGCAACATGTTAAAGTGTTGGCGAGGAGTGTGGACTGCCCATTTTTAGTAGCAAAACAATGGAAAATGCGGCTCAGTTATTCACCTCCTTGCAGAGCTCTGTAAAATTTGGAAAATGGTCCAAGTGGTTTTACAGCCATAACTGCCACGGCCTGCTGGGTTAACTCACGTAAGCAGCTTAAGGAAGTTCAGGCATTTTACGTGCCCTTTGACAGTTCTGCCAGAAGCGGTGTGAGAGGTAATGTAAATAAGGTATGCAAGTCGGTGTTCATGCTAGGCTAAAGGCTAACCCCAGCAGACCAGCTCTCCCAACTGTTTTCCTTGCTAATGTCTGTTCACTGGACAATAAACCGGACTACCTCAGACTACAGCTGATCCAGTGCAAGATGAAGAAATATAGTTTTGTTCCTCTATGTACTGCACTGTCTCTCTTTAACTTTAGTGTAAATCTACATTGAACAGGAGAAGTTAATCAAAGTACAAGGAATCGTGAAACATACTTAAGTAGGTGATGTTTTTATAGAGTTTGGGGTAGGACAAACCTATGAAAAAAACAACTTGTTGAGGGACCAAGTAAGTGCAGGCAGCAGTAATAAAAGCTAAGGCCACAAGCTCTTTTGGTTGCATACTAATCATATTTCCTTTGAAAGATTTTCTGATGAAAGATTAATGGGGCTCAGGCGACCCACAGAGGTCAGTGCAACAATGTTTTCCCCCCAAACAAGATGCAGTGCGGAGTTCACTTTAAAATAAATCTCCATACTGTCATTGACAATTTATTGAATCAAACATGTACATTTAATATCAGATCATTAATGAGGCTTCGCTACATTTAGGTATGCATGTTCCAGAGCCCAGGTGTTGTGCATACTCGTGCAGTGGCATAGCTAACTGGTACCTTGTGGAGTTTTTGTGTAAACATACACAAACACAGTATTTTCTTCCTCTAGACACATTTGGATACATATTTTGTATTCTGCATTATAGATACATATGTGTGTTGGTTACAGTAAAGTGGAATGGTGAAAATATCTGAAGAAAAAAACAACAGGAAACTAAAATGGATGAAAGCAGATCATTCATTGACTCACAAGGAAAGAACAATAAATAATGGGCAATGTCAGTGCTTCAATATGAACTTCTAACCCCACCTAGTGGTCGATGAGGTTTAGTACAACAACACTCAGCTGTGGCTTGAACAACAACAAATCCTCACATTTAGAATATGGAACCAGTGAACTTAAATTATTAGTTAACTATCAAATGTTGAAAATTAATTTTCTGTCCATTATTGAGTAATTATATCAAAAACTACTTTGCACAGCATAGTTAGCAATTACTCTTTTTACATGGCTCCATAATATGGAAAATATTATTTTCATCATCACAGATACAAAAGCTCTGGCACACTTTACACTTCATTTTGAAATGTTTCGTGTAACCAAAGTCCAGACTTCTGTAATGTCATTAGAGATAGGTAGTGATTGCAGACATTACTGTCACTTCATGTACGTTTTTCAGACCATGATGTCAATTTGATTTCTAATCTTGTGTTCCTGATCTTACCATGAACTAGCACTTTTAGTGTGCTGCTGACTAACAAACACTCTGCTGACAAATTATTATGACTGATACAAACCTTTTCCCCTTGGTTGTTCTCACAAAACAAAAGCAAAAAAAAAACCAGCATCTGACTGAAACTGGACCCACTTGGCTTTATAAGCTGGTCACCAACATAACCAGCTCAACTGGTTTGTGCAGAGTGGTGACATCTAACCAGCTCAGTACTGTGGGAATGTGTAACACCTGAATACAGTAAATAGTCAGTTACAACTTGAACTTCCATCTCCTGTCAAATTTTTACCCCCTTCTGTGAAACATTACGTGTTCTCGGCACAGGAGTAGGAGTAGGTAATTCTACAAATGTAAATGTCTTTATTGACCTCTAAAACATTAGTTCTTCAGTGGTTCTGTACCAACACGGTGCTTCACTAACTTACTGTGTGTTATAGAGACACAAATGACAGATGTGAGTTCTTTAATGAACAGTATGTCCAATGTTTAATATAACATGAACGTGTAAAATCGTTGAAATACTACTAACTTCCCAGACGCAAGAGAAAATGCCACAGAAGGCAGAAAATCTGTATGCAATTTTTAATGTGGTCTAACGATCATGAGTCGAATGGAAACAAAATCTTCCACAAAATCCTTCAGCCACACAGATGTTAAACGAGGCTCGGAATAGAAAAATGTTCCCGTTCTAAAAGCCTTTGTCTGGCTTTTAGATGCAGAAATGTCCCAGACAAGCTTTGGCCTAGTTTACAGCCACAGCAACACCCTCGTTCCTTGGCTTCACCCCTGTTTAGTTATTAATAATCCTCTCCTGACATTAATAACTACCTCTTCCACAACTAGGAATTTAACCTGCTTTCTACCTTGTCAAACCAGCCACACACACACACAGACAGCTGCTCTTGTTTCACCTCAGACACAAAAACACACTACAACAAATACTGTCGAGTATGTTTGAAGATTATAGATGCAGTACGTTTTTATTACATTTTATAGTGTCTGTATCGATCTGTTTGTTTATGTCTGTGTCTTTTAAACTATCTGCCTTTCTCCCCACATGCTGGAGATGTGTGTGCTGTGAGTCTGCAAAAAAACAACAAAAAAAACACAACACTTAACAGTGTGGTTTGTTGTATAGACACAATCTAAAATACATAACTTACTTTCATTTATATTTTTTTTCAAGTAATACATTGTTGAAAGATATATTAAATGACATATTCAAATGAATGCTCTTCAGCAAATCAAACACTGTCAGCCTCAGACAACTGTTGTTGTTTCTGTTGTGAGGCACTATTATTGTTGAGATCATCAGTCATGTGACCATCATCATTGATGTAATGACATAAGTGATCAGCATTGTTCACTCCAGTTCAGCAACCTGTTTAAGTTGATGTCATTCCCCACACTTAAAGACAAACAGCACAGTATGTCAAAGGGCCGGAAGATGGAAAAACAGGTGTGATGCCAAACCAGGACTTCCCTTGTGGTTTTGAAGGGAAGCAGCCATTTTGCATAATTCTGTGGAACATGGCTTTTTTAAGTTTACCGTGCTGAAATACAGCCTACATTACTTTGACAGAGATGTTACTTCCTTTAGTCAGCTACTGCTGGACATTGGGGTGATTATTATTTTTATAGCTTTATATAAACACACTTATTATTATTCTGTAGTCTATAATTATGGTTTTGGACTGGATTTCCTGTTTTCTCTAACCTAGTTCACTTCGACTAAATTCGCATTTTGATGACAACAGTGAATGTGAAATGTAAATACAGCTTTGAACAAAAGCAGCAGGCCTGTAACCGAGCTATTTTTAGCACAACAGTGATTTACCTTAATAGCCGGAGCACCAGATGGTGCAAGTTTAGCGCCTGGCTGTAAGTTACAGGCTGTAAATTACAGGCTGTAAGTCAGGCTTAAACCGAGGTGAAACTGAAATCTGTAATGGTGAACAGTGTTAGTCACCGTCCCATACAGCTATAGGCTACATAACGTGACCGAAACAGGTGTCGTCCGCTGAGTTTGTTTGGTTGTGATTGCGCCACCCAGTCTTTTCTCCCTCCTCCGTTTGGGCGGAGTTTCTGGTTTGTGCTGGAAAAGTCTGCGTCTGAGTGGGCCGAAGTCAGAGCAGACACAGTGCTGGAGGAGAGAGGATACTCACCTGTTAAACAGCAGCCGACCTGGTTTCACTAACTTTTTAATTCTCTTGTTTTCCCTCTGAGACTGTACGAGCCTGAAGCTTCAGGATGACGGACACTCTCTTACCAAACGGCATCAAGGACGGCGGAGGAGACAGCAGCTACTTCAGAAAGGTGAGCTTTGTCTCTCGCCACTTTGGTAACAGAGCTCCTGTGTATCTGCTGTACTGGCCCTCCTGATGTAACCTGAGGGGGAGTTCACACTTACTAAATATCATAATAATATAAATATTTGAGTGACTGTCTAAATTCATTGCTAATGTAGCATAAGCGTTTAACGGAGATTTAATGTCCAACTTGTTGCCCCTTCTCCCTGTTCACCAGATAATTGTATATGTACCTTTTTTATAGATATATAATTCTAATTATTATTATTATTAATAATAATAATATTTATTATTATTATTAATAATAATATTTACTCAGTACCGAGTAAATACTACCGTATGTAGCCTACCCGTGTTCACAGCTCCAACTAACTGACGAGAGAAACAGTGTTTTACTGTGTATTACAATAAAACATAAAATAAATCAAAACACCACCTAAAGAAAACTTTAAGTAATATTGAAATTTCATTTTTGTTTTTAAGAAGAGCATTGTCTTAAAATACTGTAGTTCCTGATTGTCACCAACAGCAGCAGAAACCACAGCACTGTCAGCTTCAGCTGTCTGTGCCTGTGTGTGTGTGTGTTACTCCAGGAATAGCTGTATTTCCTGCTGTTACTGATAATGATAGTGATGGTGAGATAGACTGAAAGGGCAGTGACCAAACATCCCATAATTAACATAATCAGTCCCCTGCTGTTGTCAGAGGTGTGACGGTGATTGATGCCCTGGTAAACCCAGGTCAGGTTGGCCTCCAGTGCTTGGATCATTTGAGCTGACCTGTTTCTGTACTTTTTATCCAGTAAAAATGACTTTCTTTTGTCTTTCTTTTCTGCTTTCTTCTTCACAAATGACTGGTGTGTGTAAAGAAAACATTGAGAGCACTGAAGCCCTGACCTTTGACCCTTCATATTGATTGACTGTATCTTCCAGTTGCACACATGGGAGGTGTTCTGGATAACAGCATCAGCTAAGAGATTGAAATGTAAATGCAAGTGCCAGGTTGTCTAAATTGTTCCCTTAGATAAGAGGAGTATTTCTCCTGCCTGTATTGGTGATGTTGTGAAGTCGAAGCCTTTTAATCATGTTAATTAGCTGGTGAGCTATCATTGTATAGTGGCAATCATTAGTAAGCATTCATTGAATCAGGACCAGCAGACAGTTTTACCTGCGACTGTAACATTTTCAAGAGCTGTGAGTTTGTCTACATTGAGGCTATGAGAAAGGCCACAATTGGCAGTGGTTGAGTGATTATCTAATGTGTTTTTACTGAGTCCCCTGTCTGCCGTGCTGTGGTCCGTGTATCATTCCTCCACATTTGCACTAGTGTCCTCAACTGGAGTGTTTTTATGGACGAGCTTGTTTAGATGGGCATCTGAACAGGGCCTTTGTGTCTTTCAATCCCCCCGAATCCCCCTCTGAACGCTGTCTGGATTTAGGCTCTGTGCTGCACTTCCTGTGTCTATAAAAAGGTCAGTGGGAGCCACAGTCTGGCACTGCCACTGGACCTGGTGTGAGCCTGTAGAGTCTGATACCTCAATCACAAACTGTTTCCTTTTATTACTGTAACGCACATTGGAGCCTAACTCATCCTATTTGCTCTATCGCTCTCACTTTGTCCTCTGTTTCTCAGTGTTGAACACTCGGGTTCTTCACTTCCATTGCAGAGACCGTCTCACTATAAAAAGGCTTGCACATTCGCTGAAACCACAAAGCAATGAGTTCTGCGTTCTCATTTTGTCATGTTAAAGAGATTTGCAATTTGGAAACTTTTGGGTCAAATTTTAACCAAGTGGAGCCAAGATGATCTTTGCTTCCATTTGTTGTGCCCCTCTGTCTCTTGGGTGAAAATGAGTTTAATGATTTACAAGGCCTCTCTGGGTTCGACCGATGCCCCAGGGAGCTGCTGCGGTTCAGGGCTTCCTTCCCAGCCGTCCACTGGTTCACCTCCAGCTGGCTGTGGTCCGACTGGACTGCTGCAGGATGGAAAGATGGCAGAACAAAAAGCCGAATCGGCATGTTTCTTCTCCTCATCCTCCTCGGCCAACGAGAGCATTGACGTAGCATCTGGCCCGAGGCCGTCCTCCAGCCAGACCACAGACACAAATTGACAACATGTGTCCTGGTTCACAAACCAGACGAGCTCCCTCGACTTGGAGACGCACTTAAATTCCCTCAGCAGGATTTGTATTGGAGAAAGACAAATGAGAGATGCAGCTGTCATCAGATATCGTCTTTGTCAGTAGTTCACTGAACAAAAAGAGTTGTTTTATCTTGCTGAATGAAGCGCACTCCCATTTGGGCAATCTGGAAAAGCACCGTAATTGGGAGTGGATTCAGTATGTGGAATCAATTAGGGGACGTAAATGAATTCAGGTTGACCGTTCACCTCATCATGAAGAGGCGTCAATTTTGAGATACTGAGCACACTCTGTGTATTTATACAGAACTGGTGGCCGTAGCCTCTTCTTGGCCGGTTGCCATACTTAATCACCAGTTGTATAAGCCAGCTACCCCATGAACCGTTGTTCTACATGTTCTTTATGAAGCCCCGGTTATACAACAGCAGAGTGATTTGCAGTAGCAGTTCCATGTGTTACTTAATATGATGCTGATCTAGTTTTCATCCAAATGGTCTGTGTTGTGGTGTGACAGTCAAGTATGGCGGCATTGGTTCTTACTTCATGTGAGTTCTATGAAGATTAAGCATTACTTTTATCCAGCATCAAAGCTGTAGAAACACAACAACCAGAACATCTCTAAGTTTACTATAAATAGTGGTGTGGTATCAAACCATCATTTGTATGGACTAACTGTAGTTCTTGATGATGACCCCCAGAGTAATGTTGCTACGCAGGATCAGGCTCATCACATTGGAATGCTAGCACGGGTTTCATCGCGTACTACATATAAAAAATGGGCACAGAACACCTTGCTATGGTTACTATCAGCCACAAGCCACTCCCTTGTTCTTTAATGAACACATACACCCCACTTTCCATGTCACGACTGACGTGACAACATACTGCAATTAGTCCACACGCCCTCTCCAGTCATACGCAACCGTCCACACCCTGCCGTCATTCTAAGAAAAGCTGCCGCCATGTCCAGCCTGGCCGTCGATGCAGCTCTGTTGTGTAATTAACGAGGCTTTCATTTGTCTAAATGGTTAATCATTACACTCGCCGCTCGCTGGAGTGTTTGTACAGGAACACCCAAATGACTGCAGTGGAGTGGTTATAGAGTGCTGTATAACTAGAAAATGTCAGGTTAAATGTGACCCTCGCTGCAACTGTTTAACCTGTGGTGTCGAAATGTGTACTGGACAGGAAGTGTCTCTGGATAAGAACATCAACAACATGACTCGGATGTAAATGTAAAAGATGTCATCGTTTTTTTTGTGCATTTTTGCCTTTATTGGACAGGCAGACAGGAAACAAGGGGAGAGAGAGAGGGAAGAATGAAATGCAATAAAGGTCTTCAGCTGCCTTCAGATGTAGGACAGTTATGTGGTATGTGCCTCTAACCATTTGGCCCCATACCAATAGCTGCTGAATCCTACAAAACAAAATGGTGAAGCAACTTGATGTCAGATGAAAGGAAGGGTCAGGTGACGTGACATCATGTGTATGGGAGGAGCCAGGTCACTGTCTACGATCTCCCCTCTTTGAACAGTGGAGTTAGAAGTGACCTTGACTGCATTACAGAGGAAATGAGCATTCAAGATTGGGAAGAAAGTAAAGAAAAATCAAAAAAACAAAGCCGTGACAGGCATGAAAAGTAATGTTTTTATACATGACTAACTATGTAGGTTTTGTAATTAAATTCTGAGATTCCATTTGAGTGCTAAACACTTAACACCACAAACCCATTGTGACACATTGCAGAAGCATCCTTCCTGTGAAATTAGAGTCAGGCTGTTGAATGATCTAATGAGGATGAGTCAGTGAATCCTCCCTGTTGCTGATGTGTATCAAAAATGATGAACATGCACCTTGAAATTTACAATAAAAAAAAAAATGAGATCATGTCAGTGATATGTTTTCTCTGTGTCACCTATGATCCCTCTGTGGTCACAGGAACATGCTGCATGTGTTTAAGTGCTGAGACTGAGACCTCAGATGTAGACAAACAAATATCTACAGTGTAAAAGCGTCCCAAGTTGAAGACTGCGAACTAACTGGTTTTACTGAGCTGACTGGTCTCAGGTGCATCGCGTCATCATTGTTTTTTTTTTTTGACATCCGAAGTACAGTGCAGACCACACCTCTGTTGTGCTGTGAGTCAGCCAGTATGAATGTCTAAGGCCAGTTTATCTGTGCACCAGTGAGTGACAGCTTGTTGACTCAGTAAGGCTGGGACACTTGTGGTTGTGATAGGGACAAGGACACACACAGCGCAGCCACATACAGGCCGTTAGGTGTAAACACAGAGAGTGAATGTGAACAAGGTGCAGCTCTTCCCACACCCAACTTAAATACATTTTCACTGTTACATCAGGGAGTAGAGAGAGGGTCAAAAGTCACATATAAATACACTTAAATTCATTTTAAAGCCACATGTCAAACAAATGTTGAGGTCAGAGGAATGTTTGTTGACCAAATGATAACATGTTGCCAGCTCTGTTGTATGAATTGACTGGGTGATCTAAAGATTTAAGAACAAAGTGAGAGATGAAATGTTATGGACTATAAACCTTGTCAGTTTTGGCCCTGACTGAACTCACGATATATATTCTAATTTAAACAAAAACCTTTTTTCTGAATGCTCTGAACAAATAACGTTTGATACCAACGAGTGATCCATGCATTTCTTGATGCCTATGCACTTTTTTTTCACATTTTAAGATCGTTTTTTTCAGTATTTTCTGCTGACATGTTTGTTCCTGCATCTTATCTTAGGGTTGTAACCCGTTCGCCCAGACTGGACGAAGCAAACTGCAGAACAAGCGAGCCAGTCTGAACCAGCAGATCATCAAACAGATGAGGATGAGGGCCGGAGCTGAGAACCTGCTGAAGTAAGACGAAAACTGATGACTCATAACACATACATAACACATATACATATTGTACATTCGTGTTTCCACTGTATCTATTTGTTGTTTTTGCATATGTTGCATAAGAGACAGCCAGCAGTTTATCTCTCTCTGCTCACGTCATACGTTCATGTAGCTCTCATTCATCAGTAATGCCACTGCAGTGTATGTGACCTCTAGTTAACACCAGTTGGAAATGTGTTGTCATGAATTCTTGAGACTTAAAACAAGGGGGTGGATGATATTTGGTTAAATTCTTGAAGAGGAGCATTCCATTTGCCTTAGATGAAACCTCAGAAAAATTTAAACATTTAGCCGAGCCTTTATATGTGGATTATTAAGAAAGTGTGATGTTTCCGGTCTGATTTTTGATAGGATGCGGGTGCTTTGTTGACCCCTGGCCTGTACAGCTACAGTACACACTGTACATAAATGACTGTTATTCATAAATGTGTGTGTCTGTTGCTGAATGGTAAATTCACTGTGCAGGAAGTTGTGTCGTAATCGGCCACTCTCTCTCAGACGCATTGTCCCTGTCCCCTGAGAAGATCAGATTTCTCCGCAGGTACAATGCAACAGAGAAAAATTAGGAAGATTACTGTCCCCTCGCACGCCCTCTGGCTTTTTGTTCAGTGTGGTTAGGGGGCTTCTCCTCACAAACAGAATGTTCACTTCTCGTGTTTTTCGGCAATACGTCACGATATTCAGACACCTGTGAAACAAAATATAGGATTGTTTTTTGTACTGTAAAGAAATGTACAAGCATGCTAAGGATAAGAGACAGGCCTCTTTCCTTTATTTAACATAGATTTGCTACTTTGTTTGATTCTGCGTCTGATTTATGACAGAAGAAGACGATGATGATCACAGTTTTAAGCGGAACATCAATTGAACCTGCTGTACTGGAAAAAACGAGCCTGTCAACTGCTAGCTGCCAAGTGAGACAAAAATAGGAGGCGGAAATCATCTAGAGCCATAAGTAATGTTTTTATTGTGCTTAATTGTGGGGAAATCCACAGGAAGACACCCTCAAAAAATTCCAGAGTTGAGTGTCAACAGAAATGGAATATTATAAGCGTCATAAAAGTAGTGTTTATTGCAGGCTCCCTGTAATGGATTGCATTAGATTATACAGTGCTTCGTGTTATTGTCCACCTTCTGTTTCTGTGTGGTCTTTGGCAGGGATACTGTGTCTCACAGCAGTCAGGGTGAGTTCAGTGAACCGCGGGTCTGCTGTCAAAAAAAACTGTCTTGTAGTACATTCTGTCACTGTCTATAGAGAGACAAAGGGTACGACAGAGCACCTTTTCTCTGACAGTGCAGCCTCAACTTCTCCCACTGGGATTCCCGGATTAGCTCTATTTCCGTTTGTGGTGAGGGAAGATACCACTGTGTGTGTGTGTGTGTGTGCGCTTTAGTATATGTGTATGTCCATTAGGCCTGTCTGCCTACTCTTAGAAGGCTCCACATTCCTCTAGTACTTCACATTCACACAGTCTGCCCAGCCAAGGCCAGGGCCAAATGGACTCTGTGTGGATGTATGGGTGTGTGGGTGTGTGTTTTCGCCAGCCCAGCTGCAGCACAGAGAACAGGCTGGATGCATTTTTGAGTTCCAGGTATGCTCTCAACTTTATTTTTAAGGCCTTAAATCATATGCAGTCGGACTGTAGCTTTACCTGTGATCTTCCATCTGGATGTCCACCTGGATATAAATAAACAGATTCTCTTCAAAAAAGAAATAATTCCAGAAAATTGTCATGTAGACTTTGCCAAAGTATGGCCCTTTTTAAGAAGTAATATTACAAAATGGCAACATAAAACTATCCTTTTGTAGAGCCTAAATCCCTGTTTTCTTGTGTAAAATGTGTATTTTTTTTTTTCCGTTGGTACTGTGAGCTCCTCAACCTCGCTCTTTTGTCCTCCTCTCTTGTTCTGCATTCCTCTCTCTATCAGCAACAGGTGGGGTCAGTCTGGTCAGACCGGTTCTCTCCTCTCCTGGTGGCGATGATAGAGAGAAAAATACTGACAGGAAAACAGGAAAAATAAAATTGCAAAAATCATCCTTGTGTATTGCTTTAAAGGACCAGTTCCTTGAGTAGTATTAGTATTGTACTTCCATAAAGTTGGAAGAACCCAGAGTATGGGTCAAGCTCCAAAAACACTAGATCCTACCTTTTTACTTTCTACTTTATCCTATTCTTTACTTGACCCTGCTGCCTCTTAAATGCCACTTTTTTTTCAAACCCAACACCAGTTTTGTAATGCAGGTAAATTCAAGGTCTCAAACTAAAGCACAGGTGACCTTGATGATGTCATCAGGGTTATCTTGGCTCAAGTTTGAGAGTTATTTTAATAACCTTTAGGAGGCTCCCTCAGAACCACAGAAAACAATATACAACCCTTTATCAGAGGCTGAATAGTACTTATCATAACGAGTTAACCAAACTTTATTTGTAAAATTGGTGTAGTGCCCCTTTAAAGCTTTATATAATAGAGGGTATTATATCAGTCGGTTATGAAACTCCAATCAGTGGCAGTACTATCTCTTTTCAGATCAAATGACTTAAGGAAAAACACAACAGCCTCTCAATCTGCCAAAAACGTATAGCCTTTCCAGAAAAAAGGATGGGGGAACTTCAGTGAAACCACACTTGCTGGTTTAAAGTCTGATTCCCACGCTCTGTGGGATGATATTAGATATTAAATTGAATATTAATATGAGCCTTTGGGCTGGCGGGCTGGCATCTATTCTGTCCAAACCATAGCACCCCTGCCTCCTCCACCCTGATGGATTCCCCAGGCCAAACCTCTTCAGAAGGAAACCCTTAAGCAGGCCAACAGGAAGTGATAGTGTGGTGTCAGTGCTAAGCAGGGGTTGACATCCCTGTTATGGTCCAGTGTGTTGTATGGAGAGAAAAACTACAGTCGCACACTGTGGCCAGTGTTAACAGCAAGCAATATGATTTAAGAGCATGAGTCAAGACCAAAGAGCAGAGTTTTAAAGCTCAAACTGTGGGACGGTGTATATGTTTGACGTAGACTGCATTGATTCCTCAAAAGAATTGCTCCACCATATGCTTGGCCACATTATATTATTTGATTTTTGAGTTTGAGTCATGTATGGTCATGACAACTTGTTCCCCGAGATGTAATGGTACTAAGGTTGTTGGTGCTTAGACCACTTTTTCCACATGTGTAACACATTTTGTTACAGTTGTAACATTTGGAACATCTTATGTGAAAATGATTAACTGGAAGAAAAGAAACGATCCTACCAGCGCTACTTCACATCTCACCTTTCTTGTTAAGAATCACATTCTCTGTAATTACAAGGTAGAGAGAGGGATCAGATGACAGGGAGACAACAACAGATTGACAACAGTGAAACATCTCTAGGCTGCAGTTTGGGGCAGGGGTGTGTACGAGGGTATGCTATTAGTTACGACTGACAGAGAGAATGTGTTAGGATTCACTGTAAAACAGAGATAAGGACCACTAAGGTGTGTGTGTGTGTGTGTGTGTGACCTTGTAACACCATGGATGCATGTGAATTGCAGTTTGCTGCTTTCACAGACGAACAATGCATCACAAATTCTGCTTTACAAAGGATCTAGCCACTTTGTATGCAAACACACACACACACACCCCTCAGAGGTATTATTACAACCTTATCTGTGTTGTGCAGTACTAACTACCTGTGCACACACACAGTATAATGCTCTTATGTTCCTCACCTCAACATGTGCATGCTGTACATTTCTTTTTCCAAAAATGGCTTTGAAATGTACAAACATTGATGTTGAGACATGACCATGTCATGTGATGGTGGATTTTATTTCAAATGTTTTGCCATGGGAACGAGCTGCTGAACTACACATGGATTACAGCTGTGATTCATAGATCTTGGTTAAGCTGTTGTGTGCAGGAGAGTAAATCAAGTGCACAGCAGGGCACAGTGACGCAGGTCTGTGGTCCAGAATACCAGGAGAGGCACGCTTGTTTTAATAATCAGCTGCAGCAAAGTTTAAGTCAGAGTGGATAATAACAGGGCTGTCATTTCTTCTCCCATCTCTTTATTTCAAATGTTTTATGATCCTTTTGTCTCACTTTTCTTTAATGTATTTTCATTTTTTGTTTCTCTGCACCTCTCCCTCTCTCTCCAATCTCTCCTGTGTGCAGGGCTACATCCAACAATAAGGTTAAAGAGATGGTTCTGTTGGAGTTGAGCTATGTTAACTCCAACCTGCAGCTACTGATGGGACAGCTGGAAGGACTCAACAGCTCAGTGGAGGTCTACCAGAGCGCCCAGTAAGTTCAAATATGAATATTACCTCTATGTATTCTACTACTGCCACAGCTACAATATATTAGATACTTCCAAGTGACAAGAATGATCATAAAAGGGTGCAAATGGGAACTTATAGCAGGGCAAATATGTATATACCTGCCACACAGGGTTGTTTAAGTGGACATAAAATTGAGCAAGGAAAAACTTGCCAACAGCAGAAGCTCTCGTGAGACTGTAACTTATTTTGCAGGCTTGTTTGTTAGCCACACAGCTAACATTTTGTGCTGTCACAAAATGGCACAATTGACTTCACCAACGGAAAAAACTGTGGTTTTGTCCTCAGTAGCAAAGCATCTGAAGGCAATAGAATGGAATAACTTATAATTTTCAGATGAATTAAAGGTTGACTTTCATGCTAACTGCCTGTGATGAGTCTATTAAATAGATTACATTTTAAAATGCATGCACAGCAGCCAGAGCTCTCCAATGCAGGCACACATGACTTTGGCGCCAGTCCTCTTGTCACATAATGAACTCACCACTGATCCAAACTCCCAAAATCTAGTCGGAATTTTGATTTCCCAAACCTGCAGAAGTGAGGACTGGTCAAAGTGATCTCAGTATGCAAACAAGTCCTCAATCTGGAGACCTAAACCTCAGACTACTGTCAATACAGAAGGAGAATACAAACAGAGTGTTGACTGGCAGCCAACGGGAGACTAATTTGGCTCTGACACTCAGTGTTTAAGCAATCATGCGCTCTCTCAGATCAAAGATGCTTGATGACAGAGGAGCAGATAAAAGGGGTGTATGGAGGAAGAGCGAGACATAAAGAAAAACACGAAGACAAAGTTTGTTGTTAAACTGGACCGGCTGGTTTTTGGAAAACAAAGCACAGAGCAACAAGGAAACGAAGAGATGAACTATACTAGATGCTTATCTTAGTTTGCATACACGGCTGTCGGCCTAATGATCAGTTGTGTGTACGTGTGTGTGTGACAGTGATCTGGTGTTTTCTTTCTTCAAATGTTAGCCAAGTTTATAGGGTGTGTTTGAAAATGCAGTATGTATGTCATGAGGATGCACGCATTGTCGCTCTCACGTGTCAAGTAAGCTTAAGTAAGACACACGAAGGACCTGAAGGCAGTGATATGGAAATATAGAGGTTTATACACACAGTGACAGATGTTATTTGCAAATTGGGATCTGTCTTTGCCGTAAGTAACACCTTTTCCCATGATAACATGACACCCGCTGACAAAATTACCAGATAGGTTTAAAGTGAACTATGGTGCTTTTGTAAAGTATAGCGCTCAGTTGACTGAAAGCAAAATGCTTCACTGGCTGGGTCTTAGTTTTTTAGATAATAAATGATGAACTGAAGACAACAACGGTTTTCTGTTATAAACATATAAGACTTTAAAGCAAAAGTCTTTAAATAGTTCTGTGTTTTAATGCAAATTACAATGATTGAACGGCTCTTAGATTGAAGCACGCCTGCTTCCAGGTGGCTCTTCTCATTAAGAACACTTGAGAGCTCCATAAACCATCTGCGACACACACACACACACACAAATAGTACCCATGTTAATACATACATACTAAAGCTGCACCACACACTCACACAGGCATGAGGTAAATATCAAAATGCATATACATATAGAGCACAAGAATGTGGCATGTGTACTCCACACACTATAAGCACACAGATACATGTATGATACATATAAGAATTACCACACACACACACACACAACACACACACACACACACACACACACTTCACTAGAGGATGCCATGTTGCCCATGACAACAAATCACAACAGGGCAATAAAGTGATGGGAAAGGTAGGGAGATCGTGGAGGATTGTGGGGGATGGGGGTGTTGTATGGTGGTAACTATGGGAACAGTTCTGAGGGTCATTGACAGAAATCGTACATGGATTTTCCACCGAGCTGCTACTATCAGGCTGTTTTTTTCCTTCTAAAATGTTTATTAGGGATTTTTAATGAGATGCAGACACAGCTAGGGTTTTCTTTTAAATTCTGACATAAATCTGCAGATGACCTTATAAAACCCTAAATACCACAGGCACGCCCAGATTATTTTGTTTTGTTACAAGAACTACAGGCTTTAAGTTTTAATAAATCATCTTTGTAGACAGGCGAACTCCCTGTATAAGCTGCTAAGAAAGATCTTTACCCCTCAGGAAAATATTTATGTAAAATATATATATTTTGTGTTCCACTCTTAGCCAGTGTTGTTACCCACAGAGGAGTACAATGTGTGAGTTGTGAAGGGGTTTGGTGTCCTGCTTAAAGAAATAAGAAACAACCTCCTCTCTTCAGACCTAGAGAAAACATTGCACCCCATCCACTAATAATTATGTCAATAATAATGACATCAACATCCTCAAAATTCAACAGCTGCCTCTCGGCACAGTCTTGAGGCCCAAGTGTCTCTCTGTCACATGGGATCAGACAGACTCAAGTGTGGGAACATTCAGTCTCCTTGTCAGGCTCTTAGACAAACACCTGCTCCATCCACAGACAATAGGCAGGCTGTAAAACTGACATCACCTGTCAACCATTGTGTGTCTGTTTTTGAAAGAAAATGTGCAAGGTCCAAAGTGTGTTATCATATTCACACTACCATATCTACAAAAGGCCATACATACAGGTGTATGGGTAACACGTACAAGGGATTATTGGATATGTTGACAAAGTCTTCCCCTCTTATTTCTGAGCAGGTGTCTCAATGGGATGATGCTATACAGCCACAATAGAAAGTTAGTGTCCTCCTCTCAGCCTGAAATACAACCTCAGTCTGAAGTACGGAAACAAAAACCTCTCCTCGCCTTTCTAGGCTTTTCCCACCAGGCCACTGTTCTCTGAATAGCGTCTTTCTGAGGTTACTTTCTCACTCAGACCAGATTCAGCTGGTTTTGGCATGAGGTAATGCATAACAGAAAGCACATATATGTGACCGTGCAGTACATGTGCTGTACATGTAGTCACTGACTCCCATTGAAAACAAATAGTGGCTAATCGCAGTATACTTCCCAACCTTATCAAATATTAGAAACAATACAACAACGCTTCATTAACATTCCTAACATTATCACATTCCTTCAGTGTCACTCACAGTACCAACATGTTACTTGTACTGTGATTTGGGATGTAGTAGATGTTTGTTCAGTTCCTCTGTGTAATGTTCTTGACCTGAACAACAAACTGAACTTTCTTAAAGACGTTATGAATCAACTAAAGCGCTGACACATGGAAACAGTAAAATAAAGATATCAGCACTACAGGCTGATTCATTGTGCTACGTGAGAGCGTGGAAAGAATAATTAGCACTTGTCTTTTATCTGAGATTACTGTAGAGAGATGAGACACCTCTGATGACTGATCCAATAATGAATAATGGTAGCAGGGAGGTGGTTTAGTGTCATCATTAATTAATGCTTTGTTTTTCTTTGGCTTCTAAACACACAAATAAATCTTCAGATCCCCCAAAACCACTTGTCGATACAGTAAGCTTTTTAGATAATGGTGGGTTGATTTTGTTATACCTTTGGACAGAGCCTGGCTAACAGTTTCCCACTACTCCCAGTCTTTATGCTAAGCTAAGCTAACAGTCTCCTGGCTCTAGATTAATATTTAAGTGACAGACATGAGAAGGGTGTAGACCAGGGGTCAGCAACCTTTATTATCAAAAGAGCCATTTTTTTGCCAAAAATGAAACTAAACAAATCTGAAGCCACAAAACATATTTGAGCCCTAAAATGTTAATTTTTCACCGCACATCTAGCATACCAGTAAGCCAGCAGCGGTGATGATGAAAGCATAGCCACCCCAGCTACGGGGACTCAAGACTTTTGGTTATTTATTAAAGGGTTTTAAGTTGTTCTGGTCTGTCTGTTGCCAAAACCAGAGCCTAGCTTGACTGCTATGGCAATAGTTGTCTGTTCCATGTCTTGCACACTGGCACTTGAACAATAAGTGGGAAGGTGTGTGTGTGTGTCTTCAGGGAGGGGGATTGAGCTTCCTAGAGGCTTTTAACATTTCAGATTCCTCGCAGGAAAGATATCCTAACCACCCGCCCCCCGTGCCCCTCCCTCTGCCAAAGCAGAGAAAAGCCAGAGTGATCTCATCTACAAGCACTAATGGATTACACTGCAGCCTCTATCTAGCTCTGTCAGTGTTACTGATGAATGAGGTTTTCTGTGATTCACAGAGCCAGTATGCCAGAGGAATGCTCTCTTATCATCAAGTGATGAATGAGTGTCAGGCGTTGTTTTTCTGAACCTTGTGGTTTTGAAGCACGGTGCAGTGAAAAGGTTTTTGCTTCATCTCTGATCCCAGACAGATTAAAATAGGTTTTTGATAACAGCTTCTTTGACTATTAACATTGGAACTGAGGTTTGTGCTACTGTTTCCCTCATTGGAAACTATTTCGATGCCTACCAAATCCAGAAGCAACCCAGGCTTGTTTTTTAAAAAGGTCAATTTTTTTAGTAACACCTCATTCTCCTGCTTTAGGTAGGGGGAGGGTTTGGGTTTTTTATAGACTCTGTCTGATCAGCAGCAGGTATCTGTCAGGTTATATTTCCTCAGCACTGATAACAAGCTGAATCTGCTTTCCATCTCTCAGCACCAAGGACCTCCAAGTTCATAACAGCCAGAAAAAAACATTATAGCTACAGCTGAGATCAGAAGGGAAGGTAAACCTGCTGTTTTATGGTAGCCTCTGTTTACCGTCGGGTGGGTTCGAATTGTAGAAGGTATGGAGCATGCTTCGACACAGGAGAGAGGAAAGAATTGCTGGCATTACTGCAGCAGGGCTGTAACCCCAGGATGATTAATCAGCAGCGAGTTGTGTAGCTTTACAGTACAAGGAGACATGGGGGCCCCCGTTCACCTTTAAATCCTAACTCCTACAGTGTGTGCTTACAGCACCATCTGCCTAATCCTGACTTCCCCTCTATGAAAGTTTAAGTAAAGATAAATAGACTAAAATGTAAAAGTGACAAAGCTGGTGTGATCAAGCTGGTCCTGGCTCTGCACATATTATTATTTACTAATAATCGGACTGTGTTATCGATGTGATTTCCCAGCACGACTTGGTCTGTGGTTTGATATCTTGTACCAGGCCTTAGAGCCTGCTTTTCTTCATCATTCACTTATCAATGTATCAGTAGGCTAATGGTGGATATTTATGTGCTTTACTGTTTGGCCTTGTGTACATTAGTCGTCTGTGAGTCAGATAAGCACCACATTGTACTGTTGTATGTTAAGTCCTGCTGTATCGTGTGTTCAGCATTTACTGAGCTATTGCTCTCGTTGCCAACATGTCTCCAAGAGTATTTCCTTTCACAGGTATTATACAGGCCATAAGATGACTGATTATGATATCTCTATTTCTGTCTTTCCGTTTCGCTCCTAGGGAAACAACAGCCAACATACCCCTCATTGCTCTGGGTCTTAAGGAGACAAAAGAAGTTGACTTCTCCACTCTATTCAAGGTACAGAAACAACTACAGTCTCACCATTCTCTCCTTATTACGGCACACATGTATGAATAGTTGACAGAATCTACCATGTAATGCAGCCATTCTGACTTTCTTCAAAGTAGATGTGATATAACTTTTTTATATAAGTTTTAGAATGAAGAGATGCATAATAAATGTTAGTTAAACCGTGTTTTATCATAATTGGAAGGTACAGAGAGTGAAATATGAAGGACCCTAAACATTAGGTTTCAATATAAAAAGCATTATGACATTTGGCTTTGAAAAGCAAAACAAAATGTTGTTGTCATTGATGTCAAAACTGTCATTTTGTTTATATGTCATGGGGAACTGTCTCAAACATCTCGACAGCATAAACACAGACTTTATGGACGAAGAGGAATAGCAATCTTAAGTTGAAACTAACCAATAGGAACATAAGTGCAACTGTTATTATTATTATTATTATTATTATTATTAATATTATTTCCGTTATTGATTAATCTTTCTAATCTACTAATCTATAATTTTCTCCAATAATAAATTGTTAGTTTTTTGTTTTTTGTTAATGAAATGTAAGAAAATGTTTCCCAAAGCCCAAAGTGATGTCTTAAATTGTCCTAACCCAAACATATTCAGTTTACTGTCATAGAGCACTAAAGAAATCAGACAATATTCACATTTAAGAAGCTAAAATTTGAAGTACAGGTTTGCTAATTTGCAAATGTGACCCACATTGGTAGACAGCGTTTTCAATAAGAATTTAGCTCAGTAAGTCACATTACCCTGCACACCTGCTATTACATGTTCACAATACATGGTCTGAACATAAAAATATTTAACCAAAGTAGGTCAGTAGTTGACGCTAATAGAGTTGTCATGTAGCTATGAAACACTCTCGTAAATGTCTGGATGGCACATTTATGGGGCTTCGCATCCTGTTCTGGTTTGCTGGCAGGCATCGTGAGAGGCGTTCTGACTTTGTGATCTCTGAGCAATGTTACTGCTGCCCTCCTTATTGACTGTAATCACACCTTCGTCCCAATGACTTCACGTCTCTACCTCTGGCTGGCACTGACAGAATGACAGCTCTCACAGGCCTACTTTACATGACACATGTAAAGTAGGACCTGGCTTCTGTGTAAAGTTAAGAATGATGTGACAGAGTGAACTAGTTGTGAAAGGTCTCGTGGGTTAATCCCCAACAACTGGCCAGAAGAAAATGTTGTATTGAGCTGTTGCGCTGTATTTGTCTCTGACAGGACTTCATCTTGGAGCACTACAGTGAAGACGGGAACAATTATGAAGACGAGATTGCTGACCTGATGGACCTGCGACAGGTAGTGTACACTCACTGTCTGCTCTGACATTATGTGTTACGTTTTTTATGCTACTGGTCTCTATAATAGTCACATTGGTTGTGGTTTAAAGGGGGTTTATTATGCCCAGCATCCATACAAGGGTTGGTTCTCTAAAATCACAAAAACATTTTCTTCTCTCTGCTCTCTGGACGTGCAGATAGTTTCAGTTTTATATCCTGAGGTTTTGAGATATTGGTTGATTGATACCACTATTGTAAATTATATTGCAGACTGTATCAGATCTCTTTCTTCTCATGTCCTAGGCTTGCAGAACGCCAAGTCGAAACGAGGCCGGGGTGGAACTGCTGGCGAAATACTTCAGCCATCTTCCTCTGATGGAGAGCCGATTCTTCTCCCCAAACCGCCAGACTGGCATCTTCTTTACCTGGTACACACCACTTAATAGCAATTATAACTATTTAGCACCAATTAAAAACAATGGCAAAAATAAACCATCTTTAAGAGCAATTATCAAATGTACTTCACAAAAAAAAACACATTACCGTAACTTCCTTACCATGAGACACAAAGGCAACAGGTGACAAAAAGTAAGTAAAGATAATTATAAAGAAAGCTCTTTAATCTAGCTGCCATGAGCCCCTACACCGTGGTTGTCCAAAGCTTTTGAGCTCAAACAGCAAAGGCTCAGTCATGTTTTGTTACTTCTCTTAATCCATGGATCAACTAGTATATCTCTGTCAGAAGACACCAGGCTGTGCTTTGGCTCATAGGAGAGATGAACAGAAAGGACTGCTTTGATCACAGCTTTTCGGTTTGGCTCTGCCTTCCTGCTGCATTTTGCACCTGTTACAAGCAGAATAGAAAGTTTATATAGAGAGGGAGAGGGGAGAAGAAGAGCACATGAGTCCACATATGAAGACAAACAGGCATTGGTAACTTGATTGACGTCAGCAAATAATAAGAAAACCCTCCCTGTGGATAGATATTAGATATTTAAACTCAAGAGTTAACAAAGGGGGTATGAATAGTTTTTTGCAATCTTTTTGTATTATTGTTATTATTATCAGACCAGGCTCTCATGATGAATGTAGTTTGTGTGGGCAAGTGGAGCAATTTCCATTCATTTGGAGGACATTTTGTGATCCAGAACTAAGTGTCTGCAAAGCATCCAAGTTGAGGCTCTGACCGCTGACTGACTTCAGGCTAAATGCATTTCATTCATTCATGCAGCAGAGATGCAGCAGAAAGAGAAATTAGCTTAAAGGCATAAACCCTCACAACCTTTTAGATGTGAAGGAGAACGATGGTTTAAACTTAGAGAAATGTGTAAAAACAGAACATATATTAGGTATAAATGCCTCTATTTCTCTGTTTACCTGCTTATTCCTACTGAGCATTTTTTTTTATTCTATATTACTAGTTGTATCTTTTACATTGTTTATCTTTTGGCTTTTACTGAACATCATTTTATTTTTGATAAGGCACTTAATTGTTTTGATTCCTGCTTCACAAAAATAGTGACAGCTCTCGCCTCTTTCCTACAGGTATGACTCCTTCACAGGAGTGCCAGTGTGCCAACAGAACCTGTCACTGGAGAAGGCCAGCATCCTCTTCAACATGGCCGCCCTCTACTCGCAGATCGGTACCCGTAGTGACCGACAGACAATAACCGGCCTGGAGGAGGCCATCTCTTCCTTCCAGATAGCTGCAGGTAAGAAGGGATGGTTTGGTCTTTTAAACATTGGATATGTAAATGTGTAATATGTAGCCACTATAGCCCACAAAAAGCCAGGTGTAGTGGTCTATCCAATGTTCCCCTTGCGGACATTTTCTAATGACCTTAATATTAAAAGGCACATGCTGCTTAGCCTTATTTTCACAATATGTGCCAGCCTCCACCCTCTGACTTCTGCTCCATGACGGAGGATGAATGCAGTCGATGTTCCTTTGGCTTCTTGTCACTGTGGCTGAGCTCCAGAGAAACACCAATCATATGAACTGGTTTCCCAACCCTCTGAGGTTTCAGTTAGCTCAGACAAGTCTTGATAGAATTATGACTTGGCAGTATGAGGAGTATTGCTGTATAATTACAGCTCTGAACAGACCATGCTTTGGTTATGTTGCTTTGATGGCTATAATTTAGGCTTGCACTATGTAAAACAATTATTCCTGTTATGAGGAACATTGTCACCAGTAATAAACTAAGCTGGGAGGTGATAGGCAGAGGATTCTAGCTGCGGAAGGGCTGCTGCAGTGCCCTCAAGCCAGGGACACAAAAGAGGTTTCGAGAATGGGAGGAGGCAGCCAACAATGGCAGAACCTTAGATGAAGACTAGCGAGGCAGTCCCCTGTTATTAAGTTGTCTACAACTCTCTGCTGCCAGGTTTTTAATCTGTAAAATAAGAGGGAGGCATTCTCAGTTGGAATGCAGATGGTCTTATTGCTTCCATTGAACATGAAAGACTAATTTAAGAAGGTTTGTGTCTTGGCTCACTTTTGAAGGAACACACACACACACACACACACACACACACACTGATCTTACTAGCAGTGTGCTTTTCTCCCTCACTGGGTACTGTAGTAACAGCAACAGGCCGTAGGAAAAAAAATAGACGATCTTACAAATTCAATCCCTTAACTGTCTGTATGGAACCGTTTTAAAACATATGTATAAGAGAGTGTTACTAATTAAGGTTAATGTACTCCCATGCTGAAAAGCCCAATCTGTCATTTTGTGGACCAGCCTCTCCCAAAAATTACTATTTGAGTTTTGCCCATGAAAAACCATTAACTTTACTATCAGTCTATTGTTAGCAGTAACAAGTTAGTAGGGTCATCAGCAATGTTAAATGTAATCTGAATAATTGGTGTCAGGCACCAGTTGTCTCTGTCTGCTGCACCATGATTTTCATCCGTCTTACTGCATAACAACCTAGTCACAGGCAGGTGCGACTACACTCAAGCCTGTGTACTCACTCAATAAACAAATCCTAAAAGTCCTAGATAAAAATACAATTCTCTCAATTATGATAACTTTTGATTCTATTCTAATGCATGCCTGATGTTTAAAATATTTCATAATCTCCTCTTTGAGGATGCCGGGTCTATCCTGACAGTGGCAGTACTGGTAGGACTACAGCATCTAATAGAGGTGACTGGGTAGAGCAGGTTGGTGAAAGGAGTAGGGAGTGGAATTTCATACCCACCCAACAGTAAAAACTCAAATCTCTGCAGTGTTTAAAACCAGCCTCAGGTTCTGGCAGAAGTCAGCACAAATCTCACCATCAATGATTGCCTTGTATTTATTGTAATTATTATTATATTGATTCTATTATCTCACGCTGATAGACTTTGATATATTTTCCCGTTTTATGTAGTGTATTTATTGTTCTTTTTGTCTACCTGCCCAGGAACAACAGATGCAAATTAGCTGTGAGCTTACTCTGGTGCAATTACTTTTAATTGTGCACTGTCCCTGCAAAAATAAACACATTTAAAACAAAAGAAAAAGTGCGCAGATTCTGCTTGGGTTACACGAAAGGGCCTTTTGTTAAAGGTGCTGTAAGCGATATTTTTCTGTTAAAATAAGTGTTAATTAGCTCTACATTCCAACAGCCATCAATCATATAGAGTGTTCAGTCAGTAACTTTCTGCAGTAAACAGAGAATACATTTTCTGGTGTCCCCTTCCCACTTGCCAACAGGAGACTGTTAATTGGAAGAACATGGAAGTTGAAAATGCCCCCAAATTGTTTACCTACACCTTTTAATTGGCTGACCCTGAATTCACTGTTGAGATAGGATAAGAAGAAAGGATATTTAATTCCCTGCAGGCCTTAAAATAGAATAGAACATAATAATACTAAAACATTAGAAATCCTTTGTATGCAGAATCCCATTAATCAAATTATTTATGTTTCCCTGGAACAGTTTGGTTTGGAGCTGTGCTGACCTCTCGTTCTCCCCCAGGTATCCTGAACCACCTGAAGGAGACATTCACCCACACTCCCAGCTACGACATGAGTCCAGCAATGCTCAGTATGTTGATTCGGATGATGCTTGCTCAGGCTCAGGAGTGTCTGTTTGAGAAGACTGCCCTGCCCGGGATCCGAAACCAGTTCTATTCCCTGATGAAAATGGCCCAGGAGGCTGCAAAGGTAAATAGCATAAAAGGCACACACACAGAGTCCTCACATCACACAGCCTAGGCACAGTATTCTTTCTTTTAACTGTAATGCACTGCACTTTAAGTTAATGTAAAGTAATAATGTCACCACGGACCCATTCCTCACTTCTATCAGTGATTTCGTACAGATCAGTGCTTTTAATTCCCTCACAGTAACTCTATCCTCCTTTTCCTGCCAGGTCTCAGAAATCTACGACCAAGTCCACCAGTCCATGATCCAGACACCAATCAAAGACAATGTCCCGTTTTTCTGGTCCACCATGTCGCAAGTCAAAACCAACCACTACCGCTCCATGGCACACTACTTTGTTGCCTCAGCGCTCCTGGACCACCAGCGTAAGAAAACAGACATTAATAATTTGCAGAAAGTCAGGGAAAGTGAAAGAAGATAATGTCAACATGCAGCTATTTTTGAAAGAAATTCTGGATTTAAGCTACATTAAAATTAGCATGCAAGTTATTTTTTCTGCTTATGAAAAGCACCACTGTCAGAGTAGGACTCTTGTTTTGCAAGGCATGCAGTAGTAATTTGCATATAGCGTGCACTGCACCTGATATAGTAGTGCCCTAGATGCCAAATACAGACAACACGGACATACTGTGACACAAAGTAGTTTGATAATCTGCTAACTGTAGTGGCAACACCAATCCAATATTGTCCCTCTTCTCTTTTACATCGATAACTAACTAACACAGTGAATTCAGTGTGTTCTCTCCATCTGCACATCTACTGTACAAGTGTGAAACTACTTAGGGTGTAAAACAATTCAGGGATTTTGAACACCCTGGAAAACCTGATCCTTCCCTTTAAGTGCTGTATGGGCCACTGGGTTGGTCATGTCAGATGGCTGGACTGAACCACAGCCAGCCACAGTGCTATTACATAACAGCTATTTAGAGACACACTCACTCACTCTCTCACACACAC